GGCAACTAAAAATACGGCCAGTAGCTTGGCGTACGGGTGTTTACGCACACGTGCATGGATCATGGAATCAAGGGAAAAATGTGTACCTGGCAAAACATGCGTAGCTGCCCAAATAAATGTGTACCTGACGGATTCGGAGCGCGCCACGAATGAAGAGGCTTCCATTCGTGAAAACGAGCTCTCCGCAGGGACTCTGACGAATCCTCGAACCCAGGTGACGAATCAGCATTCGTTTCGTATCCGTACGCGTGGTGCGAAAGGTCCCTATAAACTTATCATCACTGATGTAACTGAATAACTGCATACCCTTGCTCCTGCAATCAACACATGCAGTGGACACACTCGAACATACGTACTTCTTCGAGTTGATCAGAGTGGATCATTGGTGACACAATAGTTTTAAATAGCGTAATTTTGACATACGCGTTGCATATTGGTGTACCCAACTCACTATAACATAAACCTTGCTACTTCCCGAAGTACAACATAAATATTGCCATAGTGATGTCTGACTTGTAGGACGATGACAACATGATGATGTCACAAGGCGGACACACTGTACGGAAGTCAGGAACACTGTTTTCCATGCAGTGTGTCCTCTGCCTGTGACCATGCTGTCAGCACCATACAAGTATGTACATGTTGTTACCGAATCTCAGCCATTCCGTTCCCCGGGACGCAGGACACAAAGGACAAGACTTGTTTGTTATGTATGATTTATTTGACATTACGGAAATGGAGACAACACTCAAAGGGACGAACAAGAAGACTGACAAAAGGACTCTCGACTACAAAATCGCACATGCTCATATCACACATGAACGCGACTAGACGAGACAGTTTGGAGAATGCCATCACACAGGAAAACAACACAATCATTTCACAACACCTGCCCCCTTGATGACATTCCACAAAATAATAAACCTACACCACGTTCCACATGCACAACAGCAAAACAGAAAAATCAAAACCAACCAAAAGCTTACATTGTAGCACAACAAAACTGGGCCACGACACAGGGCCAAACCAAGACACAAGAGCCGACGCTCTCAACCAAGCCGCATCACAGGGCCAAACCAAAAACACAAGAGCCAACGCTCTAAACTCAGGCACACAAGGCCAACCGAAACACGAGAGCCAAAGCAGCAACAAATAACAACGTGCGCGCAGCAGCGCAAAATAAATCTACAACGCAAATTAATGCAGAACAACAGAACGACGAGAAGAGCAACATACCGACAACCAAACTCAACAACACAGCAACGAACTGAACAGCGAGAGAAACACGATCAGGCAACACAGCGAGCAAGACAACAACAAGACGAACAACAAAGGACGACACACAGTCGGTGATGCCAGACTCATCCACTGGCCTCTGGCGAGCCACGGCCACACGCTCCATGCGGTACCTGCCGTCCCAGGCTCCAGTCCCCAGCTTCTGCCGGTCCAACCACCTGCTCTGCCTCCTCTTTCACTGTCTTGCGCTCCCACCAGCTCCTCTCCTGACATCCTCCATTCCCAGGCATACTTTATAGTTTTACTTTGTTGTTGACGACGACGACGAACAGTCTCATGACAAACTTACTCATCCTCTGCGTCCCGGGTTTCGGCACCACGTTGTAACGGAATCACAGCCATTCCGTTCCCCGGGACGCAGGGCACAAAGGACAAGACTAGTTTGGTTTACATAATTATTATTGACAAGACGGAAAAAGGAGACAACACTCAAAGGGACGAACAAGAAGACTGACAAAAGGACTCTCGACTACAAAATCGCGCATGCTCATATTACACATGCACGCGACTAGACGAAACAGTTTGGGGAATGCCATCACACAGGAAAACAACACAATCATTTCACAACAATGTCGTTGGTTGACAGCAGCATGTAACAAGGTGGAGGGAGGACACCGTGTTCGGAAACACTGACCTTTCTACAACCATCCACGGTTGGTAGAGCCCCAGAGGGTTGCGACCATCAGAACCGTATGGGTGTTGGACCCGGTTCTGACCCTCTCCATTATAGTGGAGTTGTCTTAGACTTCTCATACCGCCAGTCTTGTATTCTAAGACTGCTCCCCTAGGATAGAGAGGGTCAGGACCGGGTCTAACACCCATACCAAGAGTACATAAACCAGAGTGTGCAACTCTGGAAAGTTCCTGTGGGAGCGTAATTCGTGCAGTACGAAATTTCTAACGGCTTGGTAAGCCACAGACACGGTGAAAGGTTGCGTAACCAGTCACGGTGGTGCAGGTCACTGAGTTTGTCCTGATTTCGGTTTTTTGATACGGATAGCCTGGTGAACTTACTTGTCAGCTGATGTACGCAGCATACGCAGTCACACAAAACACCGAAATCCTAAAACAGGACGCCTAAAATCATGCAAATTTGGGTGATTTCCGGTCTGTAAAACACGAAAATTCGAGCTGTACGCAAGTCGCGGCTTGGCTGACCTCATCAGGGTGACGTAGTGCACGAACGGTCCTGTGTCAGATCTGATATGCACACAGTTGCACACTCTGGTTCATGTACTCTTGCCCATACGGGGCTCTACCAACCGTGGATGGTTGTAGTGAGGTCACTGTTTCCGAACACGGTGGTCTCCGCCTTGTGACATGCTGTCAACCATTAAAGTGTGTGCATGTCCCGAACACTACTACAATTGTAGTACAGCGCTGCTCAATGAAAATGCAATCGTAGGAATCAAGTTTGCACTCTGAACCATTTTTTTTAGTACATGTATGAGCAGATACGCCATGGACACGTTTACACGCTCGGGCTAAACTCTACACTATACAATGTACACAGCGGGCTATAGCTGAGTGTACAAACTGTGATAACTCCGTCAAATTATCTCAGATATCCAATGTTGAGATGCCGCTGGAAAGATCTTGAGCTCAGCTTTCCAGGGATACATAATATAGAGTTATTTGCGATACGACCCGGTATGACCGAGTTGCGGCAAATTAAATGTGGATGGCTGGGTGGACGGCTGGGTGGATGGCTGGAGGGAGAGAGGAAGGAAGGGAGGGAGGGAGTGAGGGAGAGAGAGAGAGAGAGAGAGAGAGAGAGAGAGAGAGAGAGAAGCTGAGAGCCGCTTTCATTATAGGCTATACATAAAATTATTACGTTACAATACGCGTCACGTTTCGGAATTCCATGTACTGGCAGACGTGGTTTTCATGCAGGTACATTCACACAGGCATGCACAGGTACATTCACACAGGCATGCACAGGTTCATTCACACAGGCATACACACGCGGTTCGTACGGCTGAGCGTACAGCTTTTTTGGACACAAACCGCCGGGAACGACCGAATGAATCTCGGTACAGGGGTGTGGATACGTCGTCTACGTTTTGGTATCAGGCACTCGATTTTGGGGAGAGCTGCTCGTCAGACTCGTTTGCTAGCGAGGTCAAGATCTGGTCATGGAGCTAGCTGGGGACCTAGATCTGAAGTGAAGGGACACTGACTGCACTGGATCGTCTCGATTTGATCGACTAACTTGAAGGACAAAAGCTGATAGATAATTATTATGTATGCACATGGCGCATATATCGTGGCACTAATCTAAGTAAAAAAATTAAAAATAGAAAATCAACCCGACCGACCGACCCTGGTACGGATGAGTGAAGTGACACAAAGCAACGAATTAATTCTAGGTGGCCTTACACTGTATTGCGAACGAATATCATCGGTCCCTTGGTATTCGTCCTGAAGAAGTTTGACTGTGTGCTCACTTCGGTGAATCTATACTGCACACAACTAGCCATCATACAGGCGCAAGAAAGAACCCCCCCCCCCCCCCGGAAGATGGAAGTTGAGAGGGCCCGACCCTGGGACCCTGCATGCACTTATGTTGCTGGCCACCCGAAACGAATCCAATGTTAATTTAAGCTTGGTCAGGCGTGCGTTCTTGTGCCGTGATTGCGCAACATTTCAACGCATGGCTCTAAGCGAGCGTGTGTGCTTTGTTATTGTGTACCGCAGGGAGCTCATGGAGCAGGCGACACGACGCTACAACAGGCAGCCTCAGAGAAAGTTCTCCATTTAGACACGAAGCAAACTCGCAGTGCCGGCATGTGGGAGCATCTGGAGAGATGTGTGGGGTCGGTACGAACTGCCTAACGCTACTCAACGAAACACAACGCCAACTCAATGTGCACCGCTACCTTGTGAGAACGTTGCTTGCCAATAGTTCCCTTGAACCATGTGACTGACCGCAGGATGGCGCGTGGAGACACAGCCGGCGGGACTTTCCCCTGCACCTGAAAGCAGAGATGAAGGGCAAGTGGACAAGGCAACACTGATGACACAATGTTGTATGAGCCCTTTAGACCCGTACACATTCCCGTATGTACACACTTCCTTACACATATACATACACATCTGCACATCCCTGCGCACTCCCCGATGACCTTTGCCCTGCTGACCCTTGGCCTCCCTTACTGCATGCACCGCACCCCTTTTCCCGCTCACCCTGCCTCACTTACTGCATGCACCCCTTTTCCCGCTCACCCTATTTTCACTTACTGCATGCACCTCCTTTTTGCTCCATAGCTTTCGTTAAACTCTGAAGGCTGCGCTTGCGCAGTGTGGTTCTCCTAGTAGTTCTCCTCACAGTTGTTCTTCTGGTAGTCCTCCGAGTTGTCTTCTCCTTGTAACTGCCCTAGTCCTCTACTTTAGTCCTCTTTGTGCTCAGTCAATATACCGTATTTCCTCGATTAATGGACCATGCTCGAATAATAGACCATGCTCAAATAGTAGACCATCCTAGAGGCCTCACGGAAAAATAGTAGACCATGCCCGAATAAGAGACCCGGTCTCTTATTTGAGTTCATCGCTTTGCGCATGCGCACTAAGAAAGCACGTGGTGGATCAAAAAGGGACGCTATTTTAGGTTTGCGCAACTACAATTTTTGTAGTGGCTGGTGCTTGTTTTCCTGCATTTTACTTTCGTCAGTGGAGGTTCTTCGAATAGTGTCGTGCCTCTCAAGATGGGCAAGAAAAGGGCGCATTCCCTTGATCTGAAGCACCGTGTAGTCGAGCATTCGAGGAAAAGCAGCATCCCAGAGGCAGCGACAAAGTTCCATGTCACGCGGAAAATGGTTCGCTCCTGGAAGCTTGACGAGGAGAAAATTGCAGCAACTGCAGCGAAGCCGCAAGTTTGCGCGAAAAAGCGCTGCAGACTTCCTGGCGGGGGAAGGAAACTATTGTCTGACGAGGTTGACAGTCAGCTGCACGCTTGGTACTTGGCGGAGCTACAGACACGGAACGCCATATCTCGTCGCATTATGATCCTGAAGGCCAAGGAATTCCGAAATGCACTCATCTCTGACAATCCGGAGCTGGCTGAGCTGAAGCTCTCCAAAGGCTGGCTGGATCGCTTTCCCCAACGCCATCACTTGACAATGCGAAGGACAACAACTGTTTGTCAAAAGCCACCGGAGCAGTATGTGGACAAAATCTGTGATTTTTTTTTATTTTATTTTTATTTTTTTACAAAGACCACTTAATGCCAAACATGAGATGCAGCTAGGGGAAGCACGCACAACCTGAATCGTGGCAGTGGTGGTGAGGTTTAGGGAGCTCCGCCGACCTAGGGTCTCGACATCATAGCCACCTAGACGCACCAAGAGTGGGTGGGGAGGGAGAGCGAGAGAGAGAGAGAGAGAGAGAGAGAGAGAGAGAGAGAGAGAGAGAGAGAGAGAGAGAGAGCGGGAGAGAGAGAGAGAGAGAGAGAGAGAGAGAGAGAGAGAGAAAGAGAGAGAGAGAGAGAGAGATAGAGAGAGTGGGAGAGAGAGGTTGCGAAATTGTTAAAGTAAAATATAAGGAACATTGAAAATATGAGATGATTGGTGAGGTGACTGCAGCCTCAGCTATTTGGCCAGCAAAGTCATAATTGTTACAGTAGGCCAGCTATTACATGAACAAGGGAGCTACTGTGCCGCAACATAGAGCGAGGGAGAGTATATAAGCTAGCGAAAAAACTTCAATAAAGACACTGTCTCAGATGCGGTGTGTGCACTACAGCTGAGGTGGGTGTGGGAGGTCTGCTAGAGGCTCTCCGTCGCCCAGCTCCAGTGGTGCAGCTGGAGGTGACGGTGGACACGGCACTTAAAGGCTTGCAGGCCCTCCAGGTGTGGGGGTCTCAGCAGTATGCTTTGGGGCAGAGCATTCCATGTCTGCACAGCGCTGGCAGGAAATGCGCGAAGACAGCTGTTTCGGGTGCGTGCTGGCAGGTTAGTCGATAGCTGGTGTGGGTGTGTAGGCTGAGCAGACACGCGGGTGGGCTGTATGTCCCGAGGTCGACGTTGGGCACCAGGGGGGAGGATCTTCTTTAGCGGGCTGTCCGCATCTAGGCAGAATAGCTTGTACAAGTATGCAAGCGAGGCCACTGTTCGCCGCAGAGATAGACTAGGGAGCCAGGAGCCCGATCCGATGATGTGGATGGCTCGTCGCTGGATCTGGTCTAGCTTGGCCAAGTGTGAGGGTGGCGCACCAAGCCAGACCAGGGGACAGTACTCCAGCACAGGTCGGACGAACCCATTGTAGGCTCGGAGTCGGCCAGGGGGCTCTAGGATAGCAGGGGCCTTCCGCAGGAAGCCTAGGCGTTGCTGTGCTCTGGAGCGGATCGTGCGGATGTGCTGCGCATATGTCAGCTGGGAGTCAAAGGTGACGCCCAGGAGCTTCAGGTGGCCTGCCTCGCTGACTGGCGTAGCGTCGAAAGTGGTTCCCGGGAGCTGCCAAGGCTGGCGATGATGTGCGATTGTCATGGCTTGGGTCTTGGAGGGCTCAAACTTGATCTTCCACTCCACGCCCCAGCGAGACAGTGCATCCACACCCTGTTGCATGATAGCAGAGCTGCCAGATATGGACACTCTTGAGGTGATGAAGTTGAAGAGCGTAGTGTCATCGGCATATGCTGCGAGGTCCATTCCAGGAGGGAGATGGTCCTCGGCGTCATTTGTGTACAGGATGAACAGTGTCGGTCCCAGGATGCTGCCCTGGGGGACGCCAGCTCTCACCGGGTAGGGCTGAGATAGCTCCCCACCAACAGCTGCGGTTAGGTTCCGGTTGCTCAAGTAGTCGCGGAGCCAGCCAAGCAGGTGACCAGCTACGCCATAGCACTCTGCCTTGTGGAGCACTCCGGTGTGCGAGACACGGTCAAACGCACCAGCCACATCCACTGCGATCACCCTTACTGCACCACCGCTTGCGGCCACCCTGCCCCACTGCGAATTCAATAGGGTGAGGATATCCTGGGTGCCAAGTCTGCTGCGGAACCCATACTGGCTCTGGGAGAGGATATTGTTTGACTCAAGGAATTTCCTGAGGGCACGGTTGACGATAGCCTCCATCACCTTGGACAAGATGGGGAGGAGTGAGATAGGTCTGTAGTTGCTCACATCAGATTTCGATTTCTTCTTGTGGACGGGTACAACCATGGCAGTCTTCCATAGGGTAGGCTGGCATCCTGCCCGAAAGGACTTGGCGAACAGTTTCGACACAGGGACTGAAAGTTCCTTGCTGCACTCCTGCAAGACTCGGCCAGGCAGGCCATCTGGTCCTGTGGCTTTTGCAGCGGAGACCTTCCTGAGCTCGCGCTCGACCGCACAAGGTCGGAAGTGCACTGTGTGGAGCTGCGCATCTGAGCGGCGACGAACTGGTGGGAGCGCGTCTGCCTGCAAGTCATCCGTACCCAAACTGCACTTTGACGAGAAGAACTTTCCAAAAGCCTCAGCTTTCGCTGCGCTCTGCCTGACTTCGACACTGTTGGCCTGGGTCAAGGTCGGGATCTCCGAGGAACGGCTGCTATGGTCACCAGCACGTTTGATCGTAGTCCACCACTCTCGGCTGGAGAGACCTCCAGCGCTGATCTTGCGCCTTACTGTCGCAATGTGGGCCATCTTTACTCGATGCAGAGTGGCGACTGCGGCAGTTACTGCCTCCTTGAAGATTGAAAGAAGTGCAGCATCATCTGGGGACGCCCGATGGCGCCTCCACGCCTGTTGTTTTCTGTCAACACATGCTTGGCATTCAGGAGACCACCAGATTGGGTTGCTGGCTCGCTGCTTCAATACTTTGGATGGTATGAATCGTTTCATTGCCTCTGTGACTTTCCTGGTGAGTTTGTCACATGAGGTGTCAACGTCATCAGTAGCAAGGAAGGACCAGTCTGAGTCGCGCAGGAAGGCGCGTAGGCGGGGCCAGTCGGCTTGCTGGTACCGCCATACTGTGCGCTTGGTCGGACGGTCTGGGGTTGGTGCCACATCAAAATGTGCAACTATCACTGCATGATCGGATTTGCCAAGGGGTGGATGCAGAGGCGTGACGATTCTGCCTGGTAAATCTGACATTACGAGGTCCAAGGTGTTGCGACCACGGGTTGGCTCATGGACGAGCTGCTCAAGACCATACATGTGGCACATGTCCTCTGCATATTCGCCTGCACGTGTCGTTCGACTGCTGTGGAGCCAGTCTTGGTTGTGCACATTAAAGTCACCAGCTAGAATCACAGGCGAATTTCGGCGCGCTGTCGACTCGAGGCCCACAGATATGGCGTCAAAGATGGTGATGTCCGTGTCTGAGCACGTTCCAGGGCGGTAAGCTGCACATATGACCACAGACTGGCCGTTGCACAGCTTGACGCTTAGCCAGATGAGCTCCTGATCAAGCACGTCGATTGTTTCCAGCTCCCGCATAGCGAGGGAAGTCTTAACCCAGACTGCCACACCACCGCCATGGCGAGTCCTGTCACGCCGCAAGGGTGAGTAATAGCCAGGGACCGTCAGCTCTGCTTGCGTAGTACTTTCTGGGGTGAGCTTGGTTTCTGTGATGATGGCGATATCAGGTTGGACTTGGTCTAGGGTGTGCTGGAACTCACCAAGTTTGGATTGCAGTCCGAAGGCATTTGTGAGCAGGAGCGTTAGGCTGGGGGGCATCATTTGGATTGCTGCTCAGTGCGTTCCTTAAATCGCCATGGCCTCGCGTACAGGGGCCTTGGCCAGAAATTCTCAGTTGTGACTAGGGTGAGGTCCTTAGCGTCCACAGTTAGGTGGGCAGACACTCTTCCTGCCTCCGTGGTGTGGAGGCTGCAAGTGTGCACCGTTGCCGTACCCCCTGCTGCAACTGCACGCTGCTGGGTGAAGCTTTTCAGTCCCTCCTCAGTGCAGCTTGAGCTTAAATTGCCTACATACAAAACTGCCCTCCTGGACCTGGGAGGCTCTCCTGACACCAGTTGCCAGCTGTCGTCGTCTAAGACCTCCAGGACTGGCTTGGAGCGATGTTTAGCTCTCCTGCTGTAGGGGCCCTCAATGCCAGTGATCTCAGAATTACTGTCTTCCTCACTGGACGCCTCAGGCTCAGGGTCACTGCCAGTGTCACCCACGCTACGGGGATCACCCGTACTAGCAGTGCACGCGGCAGCCTGGCCTGTGCGGGTACTTCGGGTACGATTTATTGACGATTTCGTAGATCTACGCTTCGTACGCTGGCTCTGCTGAGAAGCTTGAACATTTGGGAGAACACTTGCCTTGGCAATGGCGGCTTCCTTGAGGGAGACAACTTCCTGAGTCAGGCCTGACACTTGCCGCGACAGGTCATTGATTCTTTTGTTGAGGCGATCCTCGCGATCGGCCGACTCGGACGCTAAGTTCGCCAGGGTCTTGATAACCTAAATCACAGACGACTCAATACCCGGGAGGGAGCACAGCAGTTTCGTCTCGACCTCTGAGAGCCCCTTGAGGGCGGCCTTTGTAGCTGGGGGCATGGCCGCCAGAGGTGGGTCAGCCCTACTACACGATACTAACTAACTAATACTGCTAGTGGTCCTCTTGGCCACGCCGACGGGCTGCCAGAGACTGAAAAACTGCGGAGCTCAAAAATTTGCTTCCATTTCATTCTCTACGTTCGACAGATGATGAAGGAATCAACTTACAAGACGCAGTTCGTGTATGGTGCCTACCAGACATCTGTGTGGCTCGACCCCCCTTCCTCCACGACCATTGCACCAGTTGGAGCGAGAGACGTGCGTGTCAGAGGTACTGGTCATGAAAAACTGCGCATAACGGTCATGCTGACTGGCAGAGCCAACGGAAACAAGTGTCTACCATTTGTCCTGCTCCCAAGAAAACGCGTCGTGCAAGACGTTGCCAGTAAGTTCTCAGGAAAACTGGTGTTGAAGTGGGTGGGGAAGTGCTGGATGGACGACAGCCTAACTGAGTCTTACCTTCGTGACGTGATTGGACCGCAACTCTTCGACCGCAAGTTGCTGGTATGGGACGCATTCAGGTGTCACACCAGTGCCAAAACGAAGGCAACTCTCAAGTCGATGCGTGTGGCTACGGCAGTGATCCCAGGTGGATGTACAAAGTTCATCCAACCAGCGGACGTCTCATGGAGCCGCCCATTCAAGCTGTCAATCCAGAACCAGCATGACGAGTGGCTGAGCAAGGGAGACCTCCCGACAACTGCTGGTGGAAACACCCGTCCTCCTGCCCTTGACGTCTACCTGCAGTGGATCGTGAATGCCTGGTCATCCATTTCCTCGGAGGTGATCGTACGTTCCTTTCATGCCTGTGGCCTGTGCTTGAACCCAGATGGAACTGAGGATGACAAGATCCATGCCTTCAAGCCCGATGGTCCATGCCCTGGGGGTCGTACTACTCTGGAAGAGAAAAAGCGCCTTGGAGAAATTCCAACAGAGGCTGATGACACCTTGGCTCCAATGGATCAAGCAGCAATCGAACTCGACGGAAGCACTACAGAAGACATTGCAACATCGGACGACTGTGACAGCGACAGCTGTGATGATGACGACAGTGGTGATGGTGCTTGAGACACTGACAGCAACAAAGAATTGATTATCGGCAATCGGCTTTCAAATGTATTGCCGTGAGTCGCAAATCTCCCTTGCATTCCCCTATTTCTGCTAACCTTCGATAGCCCACTCAGTTTCCATCTGTTCCATTATGCTCTTACAGCTTGATCCACTTCTTACATAACTGAACATACCGATAATTCGTTCTGCTGGTG